ATTTGTGTAGTGGGACAGGTTAAATTGCAAATCGAAGAATAGTTTTTTATTTTTTTATTTTTATTTTTTTTGTTTTTTAAATAAAATAAAAAAAAAACAAGATTGTAATTGAATATTGCTAAATAAATAAACTTTATTACGAAATTTATTAAAATTATATAAATTTATTAATTTGTTCATTAAAAATTTATAAATCGTTAAATAAAAGATCTAAATTGATATAGTCAATTATAGCTAATAGTAACCGTTTATACTTCGGAATACCGTTCAGATAAACCTGGTTTCAAACTCTGCTTTACAACAATGAACATAATCAAATTCGCGTGATGAATTTCTTTCGTTGCGTGAGATTTTCTTTATCCTAAATATAATAAAAAAATCAAATTAATAAAGTGTTCATTAAGTAAAATATTTTTATAATGTACAGCAAGCGTAAATTTCGTAGCCGATTCTTTCTTTAGAATCAGTAGAACTTATTAAAGAAATTTCGTTAGGCGATGTCCTCGTGGCCTCATTAAATTTATGCAAATCGAACGAAATCACCCTTAGGTGACCTCACAAAGGTTTCTTTGCGACCTCGAACGATTTCATAACAAATGTATTCACTTTTGCAATATTGTTCTGTACATGTTGCACCTTTTCACCACAACGAACAAATTGCTCAAATGACCTCACGAAGGAACCTACACGGAAAAGGGCTCGCTTGTCTATTACTAAAATATGTTTACCTTATCATCTTCCTAGAGAAGTTGACATTTTCAACTTGATCGAAAGATAGGTGTAACGAAAAATCAAACCAATCTTCTTTGAGCGTCCTTATCCTGTACCCGGGGTAGGCTTTTATCCTATGTCCAGTATTGCCTAATCCAAATATTAAAAATTCGAAAAGAACAAAAAATACAATTACAAAACAAAAAAAACAAAAAAACTATAATCGACAGTAATATAACAAGAAACATAGCAAGACGAAAGCCAAAAACACAGCAAATAACAATCAAAAGCACCGACAAACGACGACCAAAAGCACTAACAAACGACTACGAAAAGCATTGACAAACGACGACGAAAAGCACCGACAAACTACGAAAAGCACCGACAAACGACGACGAAAAGCACCAACAAACGACGACGAAAAGCACCGACAAACGACGACGATCAAAAGCACCAACAAACACGACGAAAGCACCGCAAGAACGACAATAAAAACGCGACGGACAATTTTATGTTGATCAGTTTAATTTTATAACCATAGTCACATGACATACCCTCTGCCCCAGGGTATAGGTTAAGTTTACGCATCTTCTTTAGGATTAA